AAGGGGCCGATTCTGTCACTATGATCACCCACTTACATGAATTCTCGGACTATCCCAACATACCTAGGTTTTGACCCCCTCTAAGGATCTCACTGATTGGCATATCAAAGATAGCCCAATCCTACACCTGGTGCAGTACCATAATCGAGTCTAGGGGTCAGGTGTAACATTCCAGTTTTGCCCATCTGTCTCTAAGGTCCAGGGCCATACATGAATTTCGGTCCGGTTCAGGGCTTCAAGAAAATCCACACTACATGTACCTCAGGTCTCACCCTGGCAGTTGAGACAAGCCACCCCAACCAAATTGGCGGTACATCAGTGTCAGCCTTGGCAGGATAAATCTCTCTAGATCTATCCAACGGCTATGAAGATTGTAAACTAACACGAGTCTCATTAAGTGTCCAGTTTAAGGGTATTACACAAAAACACACCACAATGACATGAATCAATTATGTACTTTATTCATTTACAATAAATGTCAAAAGGTACATCAATCTGATTGGAGCTAAGGGCATAACTGTCTAACACAAACCCACTCCCTCCTACTACCACTCACCCATGGAACATCCGGACACCTTTTGCTCGCCCATTGGCCCGATGGCCCGGGTCGACGGTGGGAAGCAGTGCTTTTGCAGAACCACCATTTCCCATCGTCAGCCCGGGTCGTCAGGTTGATGGGCGATTGGAAGGTGTCCGAATGCTCTGTGGGTGAGTGGTAGTAGGAGGGAGTGGGTTTAGTATCCATTGAACCCCTCTGCACCTGCCAGAGCAGCCTCTAGGTGATTCTGCCATTTCCGAGAAGCGGTCCTAAAGTTTGTCCCAATAGGAGATGGAGATGCCCCGTTTCCCACCGTCGATCGAGCCGGTGGATGATCGTAAGGTGTTGGGATGATCGGTGGGTCACGTGCAACTTCTCTTCGATCCTTCTCCTGACCGGTGTTGTGTAGTCTCGGGATTCACAATGTCACCTCGAAAGGAGTTCCATCAATTTCAACTGAAATGTGTTCAGCATGGTCATTATAGGCTGATCACGAATATTTGACACCCATCCATTGAACGTCTCTGCAATATTGGATGACATTTGGTCATACCACAAAATGACTGTTTACCACCGTTTTCCACTAACGATCTGGGTTGATGGTGGGACAACATTGCTATGGAGATAAGGTTTCACCAGATAATATAAAAAAGAAATTTTGCATGACTTTAAGCCATTCATTTGTAAATTTACATAGTTAAAGTTGTTCAATCGTTGGATCTGTACAATAATTTACATTGTTAATATATGATCACACTAGTAAGATGAGAGAAAGCAAAAATAAAAAGGTTTTCTATTATCCTCATAACATGTGCAATTCATGGGATATGGTTCCGGATGAGTTGAGCCTCTACCTTCCACCTACTAACATTGATAATTCCTTACAACAAAGGTATTATATGTTAGTTACTAACAGGAGACATTTAGGTATGTGCTAACAAATGGAATTCAAGTGTACTCATTAGATTAAAGTCAAAATTTTAGCCCCGGGCGATGCAATCCATGTACTTCGTCACAAACACTACACAATTGTTACCATTGCACAAAACATATATCACTTTTTGACTCAATAACCATCATACAAGTACCCCTACTCCTAAGCATTGAACATATAACATGTATCCAACTTGTTGGGGGCTAACTCCATGAATTCAAACAGCCAACCGGTGATCCTGGGAAAAAATGGTGCCAATTTTTCTCTTAAACTTTCTTGCTGCCAGATAATGTGAAATCCAACATACACATGAGCAATCCGACTCTAGTTAGAGAGACAACACGAGTAATGGAAAATGCAAATAAAAAATCCCACATTAACACATTAAATAATTCAATTACAGCTAGATGCTTACCACATTCAGAGCAATGAAGCAGGTATTGGAGGAGCAATTCCCACTATAATCTGCCAAATATCTAGTAGAGTTCTTGATCTTCGGCGTGCCCAGGATGATCGGAATTGGATGGGGGGTGCACTAATGGCCGGTAAATTGCAAAACCTTCTACCGATGAACAAAGGGGCCTCTGAGAATCCTTCCAATGTTCAAAGACAGGGGAAGAAGGAGACAGAAGAAGAAGCAAATGGGTCGAAATGGGACATCGACCTTCCTTCGGCTGGTGATGAAACTCGACCTCTTCCGGACAGCAAACGCAGGAAGCTCTGACAAATTGAAATGGGGAAGACAGAGGTTTCCGCTCGAGCTAACACATGCAGAGATGAAGCTCTGGTGATGAAACGGTGAACAAAGGTAGAGATGAAGCTCCGGTGATGAAACGACGAACACAGGTAGAGATAAGCTCCAATGATGAAACAACTCTAAGAAATTTCGAAATGGGAAAGATGGCTCAATGTTTCGTAGAGGGGCATAACAACGAACACAGGTAGAGATGAATCTCCGGTGATGAAACGACCAACATTGGTGGAGAAACGACTATGAGAAATTTTGAAATGGGGAACACAGCTAGAGATGAAGACAGAGGAAGCTTCGACGATGAAACAACTCTGAGAAATTTCAAAATCGGAAAGCTCTAGTGATAAAATGGTTCTAAGAAATTTTGAAATGGGGAAGCTCTGGCGATGAAAGGTGAAGCTCCGGTGATGAAACGACTTTGAGAATTTTTGAAATGGGGAAGCTCTGGTGGTGAAAGATGAAGAACTCTAGTGATTAAACAGCTCTGAAAATTTTCGAAATGAGGAAGACGCTATAAATTTGAAATGGGGAAGACGATTAGTGTTTCATAGAGGGGTATAACGGGTATAATACTTAAACTTTTGCTAACATGGAGGGGAGGGGTGGAGCCGAAACAAATTTCAAATTTGTTGGCTGGGATTGGCATGGGTTTCAATTTCCTTACGTCCCCAATCGAAATTTTGATTTCTAAGGGGGAACGGGCTGAAGAAACCCCTATAAATAAATTAAGTATTATATATAAATGATATAAAATGTTTAAATATTTTATGTATTATATATAAGAATTAAATAATCAATCGAATTGAAATATTTAATGAATTGAAAAAACTTGTATCTGAATTCAATCAATTATGATATTTGAATTATTCGAATTCAATTCAATTATGTCAAATATTAAACTCAAAATCGAATTTTTAATGCCATTGATGATACTCTTACCCCAAGTTATATTAATGCATAAACGTTACTAACCGTGTTTAGACCATTAAATATGAAATTATAAACAATGATGTGAACACGGACCTCTCGATAATGCCTTCGTTTGGAACTAGTCATATGAAAACACCGGTAACATGTAGTAGTCTGTTCCTAAATACTCGGTAATGCTTTCTTATGGAATTGGTATTATGAGAACCAACCATTAGGGCTGTTCACGGGTCGGGTTAGGTCGGTTTACTAGGGTTTTCCCAACTGACCCGACCTGGTCGGGTTACCTAAGGTGGAAATCGAAACTGACCCACTGATAGGCAAAACAGACCTGGTCGGTTTGAGTCGGGTTGGGTTGGTTTTGATTTTGCTCTGTACAAAAAGGACAGAGAAGCCTAGAACTATAAGGAAATTTATTTGAGAAGATAGGAGAGTTGGGAGAGCCAAGTTCAAAAATCAAATGATGTCTTGAGTTGAGGACTTGAGGGGGGCAGACCAATTTAGAGAATAGAAGAGAAGACAAAAGTTATCAATAAAATAGAAAGTCAAATTGTTTTATAGAAAGAAGGCTGAAATATTTATATTTCAAGAAACTTTTTAAATTCTAATCTAGGTAAAAAATGACACCTAATTCTAATTGTAATTGCCTAATGGATTGCCTATTTGGTGTAAAAGACTATACAAGCTAGGATAGATACAATTTAGGTAAAAGAGGACACCTAATTCTAATAGAAGACAAAAGTTATCAATAAAAGTTATCAATAAAATAGAAAGTCAAACTGTTTTATAGAAAGAAGACTGAAATATTTATATTTCAAAAAATTTTCTAAATTCTAATCTAAGTAAAAAATGACACCTAATTCTATTTGTAATTGCCTAATGGATTGCCTATTAGATATAAAAGACTATAGAAACTAGGATAAATACAATTTAGTTAAGTAGGAATTAGAAGACTAGTTAAGTAGGAACTACCGAACTAGAAGAATAATTGGTTCGGTTCGATTTCGGTTTTCACACAAGAAAACCGAAACCGACCCAATATATCGATTTATGAATTTACCCAACCCAAAACCGACCGGTGCTGTTGAAAACCCAACCGACTCGGGTTGGGTCGGTCCGGATTGGTCGGGTTGGGCCTTCTTATGAACAGCCCTACCAACCATATTTTAGTGAGGCCATTTAGATGGTTATGAGAACATCTAAGATCGTATGGAGCTGGTTATCATCCTAGATCGGTAATGCCATTTAGCAATTGATTTGTTTAAGAAAAAATAACCAATTTTGCATGTTCAAAATCTCAACAGTTACATTAGTTCAAGTGAAGATCACGCTTTTGAATAAGTATAAGCGAAAAACTCAACTACTGAATTCCTGGGAGCCGATTTAATGAAACGCATAAAATACGGTAGACGAGTATGGGTTTTATAGGTATTTTTGTAAAAAAGAAAAAAAAAATTGAACGAGTATAACATATGTTTCATTTTAACACTTGGCTTCAGTGTGCTGGTTTTATGGGCTCATAGTCGTTTTCCTTGTTTTTCAAGTTGGCATTTAATAGTCAAAACAAAATGTAAAGGAGGTCTAATAAAGTTGAACTTTAATTGAACAGTTCACATATGAATTCGGTTGGGCCCAATGTTTATCGAATTATATTCGGCTTGAACACTCGCGATCTTGGCTTGAATTAATTTTTTATAAAACATAAAAATATATTAGCTTTTCGAGCTTTCAAGCCAAATTCAAAACAGAGTTAGAGTTCAAATAGAATTCGAACTCAAATATAATATAATATATATATAGAGAGTGAGAAAGATTAGAATCGGTTCGGCTCGATTCAATTGCACCCCAGGAATACCTCTCTCCAGTTTCCCCAATCCCCAGATACGTATCTCGAGTGAAGGTAGAATTGGATCCAGGTCTGAATTTATCAACCAAACTAGTCAGCATTGAGGGGCCATTGAACTAGGGATGAACTCTCTTACCAGCAGGTTATCAAAACCACTTTTTAACCCTACGAGGATTTACCGTAATAAAAATTGCCCGTCCACCTACCAGGCTTCAATATTTAATTAATCCACCAACAACGCAACAATACAAAAAAGATTGGTTGGCGAATTAGCCTTTAGCCTTTAGGCACAAATACCCCATCTCGTCGAACTCGGATCAGAATTAGATGGCTGAGAGTGAGAGACAGAGAATGATCAGTTCTTCGGAGATATCCTCAAAGACAGCGTCTCTGGATCCAGCGCTTCATGCTTTTGGATTTCAGATGGATGAAATATCGCCCAAGAGGTTGACTGGCCGTCTACAGGTGACCGAGAAGTGTTGTCAGGTGATGATACGATACGAGGCCTAGTTTTACATCTCTACGTCTCTGTTTTCTCAGGGCTACTCTCTCTTCGCCCCTTTCTTTTCTTTCTTTTTTCACCGATGAATTGAATTGATGAAAACTCTACGTATGCCATCTTGTCTACGTACGACTCTGATGGATGATTGAATTATTATTCCAACAGAGATTCAAGGTGTTGCACGGCGGGATTTCAGCACTGATCGCGGAGTCTCTGGCGAGCATGGGAGCACACATGGCATCGGGATTCAAGAGGATCGCCGGAATTCAGCTGAGCATCAATCATATAAGGAGTGCTAACCTCGGCGACCTTGTCATGGCGGAGGCCAGGCCCATCAACGCCGGAAACACTATCCAGGTAAGATCAAGAACACACATCCCTCACCTTTTCATGTTGATTGAGTGAGATAGCTAGAGAGATGTTCTATGTCGACGGCATATTCTTGAGAAGGAGAATTCATGATTTCATATTGAAATTTTTAGTCAACAGGTGGGGGGGAGGGGGACTAGTGAGGGGAAAATAAGAAATTCTTTACAACCAAGAGTTTTGGCGTGGATGCTTCTCCTAGAGAGCTCCTCATTTACACCAACCTCTCATAGTCAAAACACTTTGCAGCCATGAACTCCCTGTCAATGACAACTGTAGGAAATGTGTAGGAAATGTTCTCCACGTGCGAGAACCGTCTTCACACCACATTCACGAGTTCACATCAGCGCGCGCCCCATAAAACTTCCCAACCATGTATTCGGAATATCTCAAAGTAATTAGTACAGGAGATATTTACAATTATTTGCAGCTGTGCATTGAGAATATTTCTTATGACCGGATAACTAGCTCCAAAAGATTATGAATACGACGGTGTGAGGGTGGCTTTGTGACGACAGAACCAGGTTCCTTTGGAGCATTTTAAAGGACTTGGCACGTCAGTGGTTTAAAATAGTATTTGCCAACTCAGGGACGCGTTTAGTGGATACGTATGGTGCGTAACAAATTAATAACCCAGTACTTCATTTATATTTTTAAGCATATTATTTGGGACCCGTGACCGAGTCCGTGAATTTTCGTGCGGCCTTTCCGTTGTTTATTGGCACGCATACCGATTTTTGGCTCGTGAAAAATCTGACTGTCAAAAGTTAGAGCACTGAAATGACACAAAAGCCATTTTGGGCTGATTTCAAGAAAAAGCCACTTTTGCATCTTTCGTATTTTATTTTTACGTAGAAAAATTCAGAAAGATGCATAGAAAGACATGCATCTATCAAATGTGTTTCAGATCTTCGTGCAAAAATTCAATGCATCTTTTAATTGTCAGAACTATCATAAGATTTTTTCAAAAAGACGTACCAAAAGAGTTCTTTGTCAAGCAAAGCGCCAAAGGAGCTTTGACATATTTAATTAAGTTCGGTCAATCCAAGTCTAACCTATGCATTACTTTTAGGTCGGATGGGCTTTGTTATTTTATTAATTATTTTTAAATTTTTATTTTAAAGTGAAATGAATCTAAAACTACCTTTATTTGTATTAATTTTATTTTCATATTTAAATGATATATATATATATATATATATAGATAGATAGATATATGCCAACTTCTTTCCAATACATGAGATTGCATGATACTCCAAATCCATTAAGGCCTCGTTTGATTCTTGTATTCTATTAGAGGGAAAGTCCGTCAATGGAATTCACAATCCCATTGACCGACTCTCCCATGTTCTTTTTGAGGATTTGGGTGAGATCCACAATAAAGATGTTTTTCCCAAGTATCACTTATCCGAGAAAGTGTTACCCTTCTCTAACTTGGGAAATTTGAGTTTCCCAAGTAGAGGGTAAATTTTCAAAATATCCAATAAAACAAATATAATCCAAAAAACATGAACTTGAGCCCAAGGGTAAAAATGACAAAAGATGGAAAAAATTAACCACTTACACAAGGAAGGTGAGTGAGACCAAAGAATATGGGAAAGTTAAAAAGCTTCATTTCTAGATAAGTTTAACAAAAAGGAATATGGGTAAATGTACCTAGGGGTGAGCAAGTGTCGGTTTGGTTCGGTTCCATGGCAGAACTTGGAACCTACCTTGTAGGGGTCGTTTCTAAGTTTTTGGAACTAGAACCTACCCTGTGAAGGTCGATTAGGGTTGGTTCTAGCCTTGGTTCTGGGGCCGGTTTCAGGGTCTGCCCGTGGAACATGTTCTTTCTTTTATTCACCCTCTTTAGAAAAAAGCTTGTTCTTTAAAAACTTGATTGTTAATAAATATAATATATAGTTTATAAATTATATTATCTTTATTGATTAAATTGAGTAACTTAGTATGTAGATCATCATTGTATGGTTTAAAACTTATAATTTAAATTTAGATGTTGTAAATATTACCTTTTACATTACTTATTGTACACATTATAGTATTAAAATGAAAACAATGATCAAATAATTTAAGTAATTCAATGGTCAAGTGATACCATGGCTTTTTTAACCATTAATGCTTGGGTTCAAATCTTTACATTCACAAAAGTGTTTTGGAGTTTATTTCAAGGCAAATTCAGTTCCAAGGCAAGTTCCACCAAGGCCAATCAATGTCAATTCATCGGATCGGTTTGGGTAGGGTAAACCCCTAGACCCAAGAACTTGCCTGGGTGGGGATTGGTTCCAAAAACTTGGAACCAAACCCTACCCTATAACACATTGGATAGGGTCGGTTGAAGTCACACAAAGAGAGTTTTTATAGCTTTTAGTCCCCAAACCCCTTTTGGCCGTCATGGTACACCATTCTCGTTATATTCACAACCATTGTACCCTCATTTCGTGACATCCATCCCTATACTTATTATTCATGGTTTGGAGACTTCTTGCTTGGGGGCTTTTTTATTCTCCAATGGCGGTTTAGTTTTTAATAATTTCCACCGTTGACCTTCTCTTGCCATATTTTTTTTTAATAATTTAATGACATTCATCCAACCACTGTACACTCATTGATGATCTTCAATTGTGGTTTAATTTTTAAATATTTTATTTTATTAAATTTTTATATGTAGATATTCAAATTTTACAATGTAAATAATATTTTTAAAATATTTAAAATATTACATTTAGGGATGAGGTGGACTGGTAGGGGTATCAATCGACCGGTTTTGTTTTGGATCCAATCCGATCCAAATCTTATCAAATCGGATTTGGATGGTCCATTATAATTATTGGATTGGGCCAATCCAAAATAAATTGGTCCATATTCTTTTTGGTTTGTATTTGACCCAAACCAAATTTCCAATAGTCCGATCATGAGGCCAAACCCTTGTCCAATTTAAAACCAATCAAAACTGAAAATAGCATAAAATCACTTTTACGAAAATACTTTTATGAGAACACTTTTATGAAAACATTTTTATAAAAGCACTTTTATAAAAGTACTTTTAAGAAAAATATTTTTACGAAAATACTTTTATAAAAATACTTCTACAAAATCATTTTTACAAAAGTACTTTTGTGAAACCACTTTTACAGAAGTACTTTTATGAAAGAAATGGGTGCTCACGGTTCGGTTACTGTGGGGTATTTTTTTGGACCAAACTGGTAGTACCGGTTTTAAAAAACCGGTAACCGAAACCAATTGATTAACTGTTAGTTCGGTTTGTCGGCTTTTCAATTTTTTAGTTTTAAAAATACATATTATAAAAATATATAAATATATAATAAAAAATTATAAATGTATAAAATATTATGTTTTAAATAATAAATAATAAATAATATATTATAAATATAAATATATATATTTATATATTATACATATTTATTAATTTATAATATATAAAATATAAAATATATACAATATACATAAATATATATATATATATATATATATAATATATATAGAAATATATGTATATCGGTTGGTTCGGTTAACCGTCGATTTTTTATATTGGTTAACCGAAACTAAACCGACCGGTTCGGTTAACCAACTTTTTGGTTCGACTTCAGTCGGTTTTTTCGGTCAATTTGATTTTTCGGTCTTTTTGCTCATCCCTAATGAAAGAACTTTTACTGAAGTACTTTTACAAAAGCACTTTTATAAAAGTACTTTTACACGAAAGCACTTTTATGAAATCACTTTTACAAAAGAGCTTTTATGGAAGTACTTTTATGAAAGCACTTTTATGAAATCACTTTTACAAAAGAACTTTTATGGAAGTACTTTTATGAAAGCACTTTTACAAAAGTACTTTTATAAAAGCACTTATATGAAAGCACTTTTAGAAAATCACTTTTATGAAAGAACTTTTATGAAAGCACTTTTACAAAAGTACTTTTATGAAAGTACTTTTACAAAAACACTTCTACGAAAGTACTTTTATAAAAGTACTTTCAAGTACTTTTTGAAAAGTGCTTTTACAAAAGTACTTTCATAAAAGTACTTTTACAAAAGCACTTTTATAAAAACACTTCTACGAAAGTACTTTTATAAAATCACTTCTACGAAAGTACTTTTATAGAAGTACTTTTACGAAAACACTTATGAAAGTACTTTTATAAAAGTATTTTTCGAAAAGTGCTTTTATAAAAGTACTTTTACAAAAGTGCTTTTTCAATGCGAAAAGTGCTTTTATATAATTTTTTATATTTCATTTGGTTTGTATATTTATACGTGGACTCACATTTGACTGGATTGGATTGGACCAAATCCATCCAATTGACATCTCCACGGACATGGACTTCACTCCCCATCCCCATCCCTGTCCCTATCCCTTATATCTGAATTAATCATCATCCTCGTCTCTGCCAAAATAGTCTCCATGCAGAACCCATTTGGGATGGGTAGGTAAGGTACCTAGTGGAGATGAGGAAATTGCCATCCCTGTCTTAGCTCACCTAATAGTCCCGGTCCAACCCAAAAAAAATTGACATAATATATATAAAATTATTAAATTAATTAATCATTATTGTAAATGTATAAATTGAATGGGTCAATGAGCCAATTATTCGACTGCTCGGATCAATGGGTTGTTGATTGATTCAATGGTTTTTGGCTAGGGACTGGGTCAATGAGTCAACAGGTTGATGGTTCCATTCCAGCCCTTACGAAGCAGGGCCCCTCCGCTAGTTACTGATTATGCCCATAGACATGTTGAACACCACCAAGACCCATTAGGCAAATTCGATACCATGGACAATGTATTATCAACCAAGCCTAGCTAACACCAAGCCCATGAAGCCCTAGAATTTTGTGTTAGTTTGCTTATCTGTACTCTTCACTCTCCACACATGTTTGAATATTGTCCTCAGTGATTGTGATACAAAAGCAATCAAGATATAGACATGGATAAAACATCAGGTTATTTTATTGGAGTTTACATCTGCTCCCCACATGCACACCTCAGTGTATATTGGGAGCATCTCCCAAGCCTGGGGTAGCACGTCTCCACAAGTCTCTCTTATAAATAGAAATTAAATCACTTAAAAGATTACAAAAATTGAAAGGCAGACACCCCAAATTACCTCGAGCCTCACTGGCCAATCAATCCGCAACTTGATTAGCCTCTCAAAAGACATGTTTGTAGATCACCTTTCCCTATCCGACTCTTTAGGCACAGGATCACTAGCTTTGAGTCTCCTTCAATTTATCAAAGCTTTGGGTTAAGAGGAATCACTGTTACTTCAAGAAACTGCAACAAACGAGTATTCACTGTTACTTCAATTTATCAAAACATTGGTTCCTAGAAACTGCAACAAACGAGTATTCTATGTTCAAGACATCTAAGTTAGTCCCATATTTTATCCATTCACCAAGCAATCTCCTCTTAACTTCTATTTTATCAAAAGTTTAGTAAATCACTGTTACTTCATTTTTCTTTAAAAAATATATTTTAAAACAGTAACCGGTGCACCGCATGGGTCATCGTTAGTTGGAGCCTCCGTCTTAATAGAATCTCCATACCCATAAAAAAAATAATTATTTTTGGGATTTAAATATCACTCCACCCCCCAAATAAAATTCCAGGCTCCGGTTCTAAAATTGTAAATTCCATTAACCAACTTTTCCCTCTCAAAATCCTAAAAACTAACGCCCCTAAATATTTGGTTTGAAAGAAAATATAGGGGATGGACTGATTCTGCCACTTAGAGGCTGGAGAGGGTTTGGGGTATGATCTTTTAACATGAGATTGTATATTATCAGGTACTAATTTATATAATTACAAGCAATCCTATGATATTGTTGTTTGCTAATGGCATRGGGTTTTCGCAAAAGACAAAATTTGTGTATTAAAAAACTTGAATAGCAGAACCTCCAAATGATGTTATTAAAAAGTAAAAACAGACTCTTTTTTTGGTAAAAAGTAAAAAGAGACTTTTGACAATATCCCTGATACCCCCTCCGTTTATTTATTGGCTCTTTGTCCTCATCCCATGTGGTAGGCAAAATGTATCAACTACCAACTTACCAAAAGCCATTATATTTTTCACAATTAAAAAAATATAGCTATCTCCTATTTTTTGAATGGCTTTTTTGGTTAGAGGAATCAATATTTCTATATCATTTCCTCATCAGCAGGAATCAATAMTCTTTAGGTATTGATTAGAGGAATCAACTTCTTCAACAACATGTGATTCTCACAATATTATTTGATTGCACGTTATTAGCATGAACATGTCCTACCATACCAAAAATGAAAGGGTGTAGTCAAGCCGGGCCTGGGCTTAGGCTATTACGCTTATCGCAGGTGCTAAGCGCAGAAGGAGCCCACCCCGGCCCATGATAACCCTTATTAAAAGTATTTTTATCATTTTTCTCTTTACTAACAAGGGCACAAGTGCAAATAACCCAGTAAAAGTAATGGGGATAAATATATACAAATAGTGTTGCATGTTGCATACCAAACATGGTTTAGAGTATTAATATGTATTTTACAATATACTAAGGTCTCGTTTGGTTTGTGGGAATAGGGGTCTGGAATCTGAATCAGAATGGGCTATTCTGATTCTAACTGTTTGGTTGGGCGGAATTAAAATCCCATTCACATTTATGGTCGAATAACATTTCCACGTTTGAGGGAATGGCCATTCTATCCCCCTTCCTTGGGAATGAAATCCCATTCCTATTGATTCTAATTTTTATGTCCAATTCTGATTTTGATTCTAACTGTGAACTAAATGGACCCTTATTATAAGAAATTAGAGATGCATGTTAGTTTCAAATACTAATAGATTCTATAAATTAATGATGGAAGGGGATGTTTTGATTGATAGTTTCAACTGTTCAAGTACTGTGCATTTACAAATATTTATATCACCAATTAAATCAAGATTTCAATAATCAAAAGATATCACATGATATACTTAATTTTCATGGTGCAGATCATGCACCTTTGTCTTAATTGCAAGTTAAATTAATTGTAGAATATCGGTGGTTTGTAATGGCATTGATAATAGCTGGTCATAATACCGAGTTCAGTATTAAATGTATCGATACTTTAAATTATAAAAAGAGAGAAAAAAAAAGAGTATTTTGTGTATTTGACATTCTGCTTTTGTCTTTTGTTTTTGAGAAGGTGTGGGAAGTGAAACTTTGGAAGCTCAATCATACAAGTCCCTCGAGTGACAGAGCCTTGATATCATCATCTAGGGTTACCTTTTTATCTAACATGCCCGTCCCAGAGAATGCAATACATGCAGCTGACCCTCTTAAGAAGTATGCAAGGTTATGACATAATTCGCATTACATGCAGGTATATAGGCATTCACATTTTAATCCCATCTTCATTCTCAATATTCTTTTAGGCAGTGTTTGGTTTGAAGGAAAAAGTAGGGAAAGGAAGGGAAAGGTAGGAAAACCTTTACAAACCTTCATTTCCCTACCTTATCCTATTATGAGTCACACAACAAATTAAATGAAGTGACCCAAATGATTAATCAATATGATCCCCACAATATACAAAATATAATCTTTTGTACTCTATATACTTCTTCCAAACTAAGCCTTAACCTCAAACTTTACTCTAGACATGGGCGATCATCTTTAAATTTTATTAACCATTATCAAAGGAAAGAAAAATATATAGTAGGGGATGTTGGATTTTAATCTCATTTGAGATTAAATTTAATGGGGTTTGATTTATCAATTACATGAAAAACGCACCTGCACACGTCTTAAAAAATAGTTCTCTTATTAACCGGTTTTTAAGTTGTCCTACATTGGAAAATTACAAGACTTGTTTTGAGTTTTAAATAATAGTTTATTTACACTCCTTAGAAATAAAGAGGAGTATGGGGGCTTGTTATTGTGCAATGCGCGCACTCGTATGTGACTGTTCAAGGAGCATTTTCTGAACTAGTACTTCCTTTGCTCCATGACTCTTCAAAAATTATTTAAGGAGCATGAATCAAGCAATTGTACATACAAGTTTCGAAAATCACTTTTGTCTCTCTCTGTCCAATCTGCTACTGTCTCACAGAAGTTTTTTTCAAAGTCTCTTCAACTTTGTTGGTTGCAGATTCTCGCACAAGGCTCTGTTGTATCCTAGGAACAGATTTGCCAATTACCCAACAACAAACTTAGTGAAACTTAATGGGGGCAAATAACGTTCTAAAAATAGTGTCTTCAGACACACCTCAGAGCTTCTCCTCCAAGTTTCAATGACACCAATTCCCAACAGGGGAGGATTAATCTTGCTGAAGGCAAACCAAAACAATCTGCTTGGATTAATCTTCGGGTTTGCTGAAGGCAAACCAAAACGATCGACATTGGCATTTGCATGAGAGTCAGCCGGTTTGTTAGCTTTCTCTGAACGTGTGAGAAAAACTTACATTCAAACCACTGCATAGCTCTCTAAATTTTAAGCAAACAGTAGTGGATGATCGAAGAAGAGTTACATTTTCCATTCATTAACATCAACACACACACAAATTTTAGTATCACTTTCAATAACGATATTATGAAACTGAAGTTGCACACAAAGCGAGATACCATCATAAACAGCTGAGAATTCGGCTTGGATGGTATTCCATGGTAATTTGAGAAAGCTGTTAAGAAAATCCCCACGAGAATTTCTAATGATTTCTCATATATAGCCGGAGGATACTATATTTAACCCAATTGATATCCAAATTCCTTTTCGTCTGTGGTGGAAATTTTCTATGAATAGTCTGAGTTTGTATGAGATCGAGGCCCCTTCAATGTGTTGGATTAATCTGCATGTTTGCTTTGAATGATTTGGAAAAATCAAAAAGATTTTGTTTTAATTAATAGTACTTACTCTTATCCATGTTTGGTTATATCGTATGTTAACAGCTATATGCTATATTTTCCCTCAGCCACAAGCAACCTCATCCAAATCAATCCGAATGCTGGACAAGTTGGGGTGGTATTCTTTTCGTCTCCATCTAACTTGTGGGTTGGTTAAAGGCAAATGTAGACGTCAATTTATTAAGCTTGTGCCCGCTTCTTTTGGTTTTGTGGTTGGTGATCATGGATTATAGTGGTAATTTTATTAATTATAGAAAAATATGACAGTTGTGAAGCATCCTCCCCTCAACATGCTGAACTAAAGTCCATTAAAGAATGTGTTCTGGCTCTTTCAAGCTGGAATTTTGACTGTGTATTTATTGAGAGCCATTCTGCTTGTAATTTCTTTCCTTTATGTACCTTTACTGGGAGCTTCTATTGGACTCACAATGTAAGTAACCAGAGTTCCACTAATAGGTATTATCTATATATATATTCAATCTTTTCTTCATTGAGATGATGTGTTGTATATATAGTTGTACAAGATATGGATAAGTACAATGAATAACTATATAAGATAGAAACCTTTTTCTAAAATCCTATATACATAATAAACCTTATAAAATCCACCTTACCAACCACACCCATTGTTAAAGTATAACCTAATCAATGGTTGAAAAATAAGACACAATCCCAATAATTTTTACCCTTGAAATGTTTTGCATGTATCTCCACCTAATTCCAAATATTGCAAATATCCATTAGTCTTGAGAAACACTACAGTTGTATAAAACTTGAATCACTTGATCCTGATTTCACCCAATTCAAACATGTGGTAAATGCGCTTGTGTAGTTACACTTGAGTTAACAATCCTAGTTAACTCCAAAGGGGACCCTCAATCCTTCCTTTCTCTTAACAAGATGTTTTTTTTTTTCTCACCATCGTCTACACCTTAAAAACATATAAAACTTATCTTTGCTTCAATTGCAGAAGAAACTCTCCACATGACCACACTATCTTATGCATCATGTTTCTAGCAACCAATCATTGTACTCCCCATCATGTCTTGAAAATCATTGTACTCCAAACCAAATTATACAATCCCTTCCGCATTTTCCCTTCATCAAGACCATACCACTGTGTGTGGTTTTTATGATGCCACCTGTAACAAAGGCCTTGCAGTCCTTGAAATCCAATTGATCAAATGATATTAGACTCTTACACATTTTTGGAACATATGTCACATCACCCTAGGAACCAATACTCCATCAAACATTTTGATTTTTACCATCCCAATACCAAATGATATCACAAGTACACCCATCACCCAAGAAGACAATAGCCATCTTCCTTTCTTAGAATAGCTCAAAATATTCTCTCCTTGGACAAGCTTGCATATAATATCTAAAACCTGAAACCCACTTATTTGGAAAAGAATGCACATACCTTTGCAGATAGGGGGGGAGCTAGGGGGACCGAAGTGAGCTATGGCCCCCTTATGGCCCAAAAATCCCCACTTTTACATGCATACTTTCCCCCTCCCCCACTCTCCACCCTAATGGTTTCCCTTCCAATGGCCCATCCATATTTATTCTCCCCCCCCCAATTCACCTTAGGTTTTGGCCCCCCTCATAAAAAATTTCTGGATTTGCCCCTATTTGCAACTATGTGAAGATGCTCTAATGGCGGCTAATACTTTTCGACATTCATTTGCAATTGTAATTGTTGAATCATGTGCTCTAGAATAGATCAGGATTGGAGTGAAATCTCCACCCTTCACTCAATTTATGGAGCCAGCAATTTTTTTTAGATTAGGAGATTCAAAAAGCTTGTAAGCCATTCCGTTTTTTTTTTTTTTTTTTTTTTTTTTTTTATAGCTAAATGTTCTTATGGTCAACCTTCAGCTCCTTAAATGAATTTGTTGATTTGTTGTTCCTTGATTATTTTCTTCTCCAAAAAGAGGTGATCATTTCGGCGATTGATTACACTCACCTTCTGTTTAGATTTCAATACGAAGATGATTTTTTAAAAGTCTGGCTGAAAGAAGTGATTTATCTTAAGGGGTTCTTTATAATTCTTCAAATGGACTCCCTTCTTTAATCCAAATGAGGATCCAGTTATCTTGCCTATATGGACTAAACTTCTAGAGCTTCTAGTGTGCCTATTTGGTCAAGAGTTTATTCGTTCCATTGCTGGTAATGTGGGGAAGATATTAAAGGTTCATGTGGCCATGCTTCAATGTACAATGATGATGTACCATATTAAAGGTAATGTGGGGAAGATATTAGCATTCCAATTAATTAAGCGTCTTTGTACCATATCTCTTTCTTGTTTCTTGTTTTGATTTTGATATAAACCTAATGTTATCATGATGTGTCATTTGGAAGATAGATATATAGCGTATTGGTTCTTGCTCCGAAAAAAGAGAGAGAGGGAGAGAGAGTCAATGCATTGATAATCTTCACTGCTTGATTTATGTATAAAGTTATTCTTTGTTTTTCTATCTTTATTTTATTGTTTTACTTGCTTTTCCTCATGACATGATGAAATTGAAACGGATATCCATATGGTTTGCCATTTGGGCCTTTGTTTGATGGCAATTATTCTCTAAATTTCAATGTGGTTCTAGTCATGACTAGCTTTTGTTTGGATGACAATGCATCAGAAATACAGAATGTATCAACATAGTGTTTTCTTCCTCCTCTCTATCTTCCTTGATCATATTTGTTTTCCCACAAAACAAATATGAAAAAGGCATTTTTCCTACTATTTTTCTTTGTATAACCAAACAATGAAAAGTTAATAAGAAAGAAGTTCTTCACCTAAGATACCACAAAGGGTGGAGCATACTAAGTGGAGAACTATAAGAACCTTGAATAAATATGGTTGGGTGGATAATTTACTTGTGTAGTAAGCCAACCTTTGGTAGTTGAGAACATTGAAGGGGTGGAGAGTGATAAATCAATACCAGTGAGAGAGGCTTTACATCAGGCCTTTTAGGCTCCTTCGAATGTGGAGGAAGCATTGGTTGAGTTTATTTCTAATGATAAATCAATCTCTAATGTTTGTAATAGGCCACGATTAGTAGTTTTTTTTTTTTTTTTAATTTGTATCTACGGTGCCAAATTCAAGTGAAGGTGTGCAATCATTAAAAAACTTTCATGAAAGTCTAGATGAGCATGTCAAGGGAACAGTAGAACGTCTTCATGAATGTCATGATTTGGAGATTGAGTCAATGTAAACAACAAAGATGAGATGGAAGTAAAAGACATTCCAGTCAAAGTAAAGCACTGTTTTTTGAGAAAATGGTGTCTTTTTCTTGTTTGGAAACATTACTGCCAAGTAGGATGTTTAATGGGGCAACAACAAAACCTTCTATTTGGTACCTACCGGTGCTCCTTATCTATTTTCAGCACTGGTACCCATTATCCAGTGCTTCAACTATGTATATATTATCTTACATCTAATGGTAGAAAAAAACACCTATTTCATCTTATGGTCCCAATTGTTGAATAGACTAGAAAAAGAAAATAAATTTAGGAAATAATGAGGAAAATGGCAAAAATTCTGAAAATTACATGGAAAAAACAGAAAAAAATCCATACATTAATATAGAAAAATTCTCGACAACTGGAAAAATATAGAACAAAGTATGGAAATTAAAAAATTGAATGAAATTGCATGGGAAAAACAGAAGAAAATTACAAATTCTTGTTGTGGATTCGATTAAAATGATTCCTAATATAGTTCCACCCTATGTTATTGAAACTTGATGTAGGTTTATTCCCGTCTATCACCATCTTAACCATCAGCTTGATGAATGTCTCTTCTTCCGCATCAGTCCATGTTGTGGATTGGTCGATTATCCTACAATCATCATTAGCTGACGTATTTGCATCCATCATGCTTGTCACATGTTTGTGCATTAGAACCTTGAGTGTTTATCTACAGATGAGACTTGAGACAAGTATACAAATATCTTGTTTTTCCTACCTGTTGGTTCAATCCTACCTATTGAATCTTGGTGCAAGTTTATTGGTGCTAAAGATGGGAAGAGTTTAATTATTTTAAATTTATATAACAACTAAGATATTGAATAGAAATAGAGAATTACTATATACGGTAGAAATGATCTCAAATACAAATAGAGAAATGGTGGCACACAAACAAGAAATAACCACCCTTCTTTCAACAAGTCTTATATGGTAAGCTTTGTATGCAAGGGATATTATAATCCAATTGACGAAGTCTTATATGGTAAGCTTTGTATAGGTTACACTTGTTCTTTTGTTCATAAAACTCAAGCTCTTGTAGCTTTTCCTTCTTTGAACAAGTTGAAATTACACGTTCTTTAGTTCATTCTAAAACTATTTCATTTTTTTTACATTTTATTTGAGCAAGTTGAGTGGTTGAACCAAATAGTTGAACTGTTCAACCAATGACCAAGTCACTTATTTAAAATTAAAAACAATTCTTTACCTAGTACAAGTCCAACAACATGTACTGAACCCTTAAAGTTTTGACTTGGGTCATAGCAGTACTAATTGAAACTAAGTTTTAAATCCTTGTCAATGTGCAAACTAGAATCCATGTATCTAAGACCATTTAAGTACATATTTTGCATCAAATATGAAGAAACTGCTAGGGGTTGTTATTTCAAATGGGTTAGGGTGTGGCTAGTTTCAATTATTTTGAGGATAAAAGTCTTAATGGAGGATACAGGTACTCAACTAATCTACAAACAAGGAAACTCTTCTCATGAAAGAAAGGACAAGTGGATGATGGTCATTGGGTATACATTATACTGCAATGACCACAATTTTGGGGTCATAGCAAATCCAGACTCGTTGGAGTGGTTTGGTGGCCTGGATTAACAGCTACACTAATACATTCATTAGTTTAGGAATTTGGATTGTCTCAAATGATGTGTTGATTAATACCTTAACTTCACTTTGACCAACGGATCTTGTCATGGTTGCTGCCACTTGCTGCCATCTAAGGTCCTTGGCTGTATCAATCATGCCATATATGAAGCCCAAGGTTTTAAGTGGAATAGAAGACACAAGGAATATTAGTAGATCCACCAGATAGAGTAGAAGTAACATGGTATTAAATGTTAAGTTTTTAGCATCTATAAGACTTAAACATATCTTAAATTTCTAGAATTTGATTTAAACATACCTTGATGTTTTAAGTGGACTAAAAAAATGGTGTATCGATACACCTCTGAATAACAATCTTCTTGGGATTATTTACTATAATGGCATTATTTATATTGTTTAACAGCAATAGGCCTAAAACTACTATGTTATATGGTCCTCATCTTATGTTTAACCATTATAACATTTTAATACTTTTTTTTATTAAAATTACCTATGTTCTAGTAATATTTAGTTACATTTTGTAAAATAGTAAAAACCATTTGAAATATAAACTTTATTAGCAGGGGTGGACGGGTTTCCCACTTATTAAATCCATTTTTATTATTTAAT